CAATAGAGCTCTAAAATTTATGTTTTTATCTTCACCATATTTTGCATACTAAAAAGCACTCATGCATGTTAATTTATATTCCTTCTATTGGCAAAATTTTAGAAACCTACAATCATTAAATATTTTCCAGTTAATTTTCTCATCTGAGGTAAAATATCATCAGTACAAATAAATAGTAGTTTCAACATTCCATATTTATAAAATTCAATGTATTATTAAAATTCAAGAATATAAAGTTATAAACTTGGCCAGTTTCTTTGACTTTGGCTTTGTTGTCAGAATACTTTTCTTTCAAACTGCAAAAAGGCAGTACATTTCATGATGTGCATCAAATACCAGACATATATTTAATATTTTCAACCATTTGAAATAAACCATGACCAGGAGACTTTCTATTAAATTTCGAGAGGTCCTGAGGAAACTCGCCAGCTAAAATGATAAATATATAATACCTTTTTCGAGGAAAAATAATTATTATCAACGCAGTGATCATTTGGACATAAAATCTTTCCCAAATGTCACGCTCGATGGGCAGGCCTTTCAATTTCATTGAGTATAGTACAGCAATTTCCTCATTTGCATCCTCATGTCCGCCATGTTTGTTACAAATTCTGCCAGGCGCTTCGTTTCCTGCAACCTCCCCAAGCACCCCCGCGCGCTCGAGCCACTGATCCATATAAAAACACTGTAGTGTGCCCATTTATAGCGCCTGGGTACGAGGCTGAAGGCAACCCCTGTATTAGCCTACGTCTGCGATAAGGGATGAAATGAATATTCGGGATAAGTTACTGAGGAGAGCGCGAAGAACGAGATTAGAGAGTGACTGGTTGATTTTAAGAGCTAAAAGAAAAGAGGTTAAGAGAATGATAAGAAACTCTGAAATTGAGTTTGTTAAAAATATAGATTTCCGAATGCCATGGGAATCCTGGAGCTATGTGGAAGATTATACGTAATTATGCCCCCAACATCTAGAGCGTCTGCACCCACAGTCCAATACACCAAAGATATTCGGGCGACAGCCGATGAGTTTAATGATTACTTCACCTTTGTTGGTCAGAAAACGGCAGAAACTGTTCTTAATTTAGCCAGAGATACAATATAGATATGTCTTCAAATACAGCTCCAGCCATTACACTTGTGTCAGAACAGTTTGAATTTAAACCAATAACTCAACATGACCTTGAGACTTGCATTGGTAAAATGCCTGCAAATAAATCGCTTGGAGCTGACAAAATTCCTATGAAACTTTTTCAAGAATGTTTGTCCAACATTTCCTCTCCATTGACAGATATTATAAACCAGTCGTTTGAAACATCAGCGTTTCCAGAGGACTGGAAATACACGGTAGTTGTACCTCATCTCAAGGAAAGGGACCATGAGGATGCCAGCAACAATCGTCCAATATCACTTTCACGATCTGCTTCTAAGATATGTGAGAGAATTGCCTTAAATCAATTTATGAATTACTTGGATGCAAATGACTTACTCACAAATCACCAGAGTGGGAACAAAAAGTATAACTCAACCAAACGCTGAATATCCATGTTACTGATTTTATACTTAAAGCTATGGATAAAAATCAGATGACCGTGCAAATCCTTTTGGATCTAAGTAAAGCTTATGATAGTATAAACCATGACTTCTTGGCAAACTCAGAAGCCTAGGAGTATCGCCATCAGCACTTAGATGGTTTTATAGTTATCTAACAGGCAGGAGACAAGCCGTATACGCATTGGATCAACTTTTTCCAGTAAGCTACCGATAAAAAATGGGGTTCCACAAGGTTCAATCCTCGGATCTATCTTGTTCAGCTTGTATATTAATGATTTACCTACTGTTGCACAGTATCGTAATCATAAAGTAATAATAGAAATGAAAACCATACTAATTGCATGGCTTTATCCTACTTAAAGCCAGCTATAAACTTAATACGTTTTACAATGTACAAAATGGCCGACACTAAAATGACCAATGACTAACGCGGGCTCAGGTGCCACAGCAACCCAATCCGGTAACTAATAAATATAAAGTTTATGTCATTCTTCCTCCCTAAAATAAAAGTTCAACTTACTATAATTAATTAAATAAACTAATGTAAAAGTCATCTTACTATAAGTTCAAATACTAGTAAACGAATAGTTCATTTAGCCTATTGTTCACCAACCATAACGAGATGGTGGTTTAACTTGACGAGTTGAACGTCTGAGTGCAGGTACTTGCGTTGTTGAATACTGCTGTGGATCAGAAGCCGTTGGCGATGTAGTTGAATCCTGTTGTGAATCAGCGGCCACGGGATCTGGAACATTCGGAGCTAGTCCGTTTTCCACTTCTCCGCTTGGCAGGGTTCCTTGTGGTTCATTCCGGACAGGAGTAATGGGGCAAGGAGCTAGATCTCGAAGGGAGACTGAGGACTCTCTTCCATCGGGGTACTTCACATGGGCGTAAGTGGGGTTTGCATCCGTTAGCTCTACTTGGTCGACAAACGGGTCGTTCTTGCTTGTTCTAACAAAACGCCTTAACAGGACCGGTCCCGGGTTCTGTAGCCAGGATGGTAGCGAAGTTCCCAGAGATGAACGTCGTTGGAAGTTGAAGAATCTCTCGTGTGGAGTGGTATTGGTAGAGGTAGAGAGGAGATCTTATGGAATGAAGGACGTCTGGAAGCACCAGTTCCCATTTTGAATCAGGTAGATTTGCTGACTTGAGGGAAAGTCGAACAGCCTTCCAAATAATACCATTATAACGTTCGACCT